TTTAGAGTCATTTTTTCATATATTTTTTCAAACGTTTATAAAAAAAGTTTTTTTTTTTCAATAAAAAATAAAACAAGCATTTTTTTCTGCTTTTTTTGAGTCCAAGGTTGATATGGTTTCGAAAAAGAAAATTAAAAAATATAAGGACTTGTCTAGAATTCAGAATCCAAAAAGGAACCTCAAGAGCTCATCAAAATCGGAAAATATTTTTTTACTTTCTTTTTTTAATTAATAGACATCGATTCGCGTCTTTTTTATTTTTAAACTTTTTTTTTTTGATAAAAAAATCGCTCCACCCTAGTATGCATATTTAAAACTTGTAATACGTATATTGAGAAAAATAATTTTAATTTAACAAAGCATATTTTGAACTTATTTGGTTAGAAAATAACTTTTTAAAACTGTGAGGTAGTCTAGAGATGAGTCACTAAGTGATGATCTTTTATTTTTATTTTTATTTTAAGTTTATTTTTTGTTCCTTAATATTACAAATTCGTAACCACATAATAAAGATTCGTTAATAGTGAATATATAAATAAAAACCAAATATTACAAAGTGGTTTTACAAAAATAATAAATTCACTCTAACACTGTTAAAAGAACGCGGAAAACTTGCAGAAGACCAAATGGTCTTATCATCAAGAACCGTTTTACATTGCCGTAAATATAAAAACATATTCATAAAATTTTTACATAAAATCATTAAATTATAATGGTATTAAAATGTCAGATAACAAGTATACAAATATATTTTTACAAGAATCGTTTTGTAAAATCGCAATGTTGAAAATATATTTATATTAAATAAAAAAGAAAATACTTATAAATAAATTTAAAAAAAATCACTAACTAAATTTTTATACTTTAAAATACTCTTTTTAATAGTTTTTTTAAAGCAATTTAAGTTTTTTAATCAATATTATTTAAATTAATTAGTAAAAACTTATTCCAGATATGAGGTGCACGATAAGTCATTTTGAATTGCTCAAGCTTATTTTTGCATGAAGGCTCTAACAGGGTTGTTATTTGTACGCAATAAATATTTGTACTCTGGTTTTTGTTTATATAGACTATGGAAAATTGAAGGACTTTTTTGCATTTTGCTATTATACATAAGACTTACAAAATAACATACATTTAGTTCAAACAATGTTAATAAAGACATTTGTTCAAAAAGAGGTTTTGAGTGTTCTGTTTTATTTTTAAAATTAATCACACGTATAGCATGCTTCTGTTTACGATAAAGTGGTTCTAGTTTCGTTTTATAGGTACTACCCCAAGCTATATTTCCGTAGTTTAGGTAACTTTGAACAAAACTATAGTAGATTTGTTTGAGTAGTGGTTTTTTTAATAAATAACGTGACTGGTATATTATTCCTATGCTTTTGGATATTTTACTACCTATATAAGCGATATGTTTATTCCAATTTAGATTTTCGTTAATAAAAACACCCAAAAATTTCGTAACAGTATCCCTACCTGTTTCTCTATTTTCAATAAACAATTTCGGAAAAAAAGATTGAACTTCTTTTTTTTAAAAAAAAAGGATGAAATAAAGAAAACTTTGTTTTACTTGAGTTAATAGAGAGTTTGTTTGCCCTAAACCACTCTGAAATCTTTTCTAATTCATTGTTCATTTCTACGCACAGCTCGCTATTATATTTTCCAGAGATAAGAAAGTTGCTATCGTCAGCAAATATTATAGTTGAAATTCTTTTTGAAGCCATACAGAGATCGTTTACATAGATTAAGAAAAGCAAGGGCCCAAGTATTGAACCTTGAGGTACACCACACTCTATTATAGACGGATTAGAGAGTTTATTGTCTCCTAATTTTTGCTCAAAATGATCTTCATTTTGAGCAAAAATTAGACGACAATGAAAATACTCTCTCGCTTTTTATTGAGATTATTTGTTTTCAAGTTAAAGCATTAAGCAGCTTTTTTAAATTATTTGTATTATTTCGAGAATTCTCATATATTTGAAATCTTTTTTGGAGGTCTTTGTTAGAATCTTTTATATATGCTGCATTTATAGTTATCCCCAATCTGTCTTAATTATTTGTAACTATTAAGAAATTATTTTTTTTAGAGGATTCAAAAGATCCATTCTTCAAAAGATGAATAACTTATTTAATCTATTAAATAAGTCATTCTTTAAAAGAATGACTTATTAAATAGATTAAATAAGTAATTGCAGCTTTTGAAGATGAAGGTAGCTCAGGAGTAACGGTTGAATGTAAATCACGCATTTTGAGGTATTTAATTAAAGTCACACGATCTTTATTTATCGCTCTTTAACGCGAAAAGACAGAGTTAGCAACTATGAAATTGCTAATGAATTGAAATTCTATCATTGTTAGCGATTCCAAACCGCAACAAAAAACATTTGATTTTTGACTTAAAACACGTAATTTTCATGAACTTGACTCTCTTATATCTTTTTTTATAATAAAGCTAGAACCTTGAGATTTTTTGCATCAATTAGTTTGACTCTAAACTTCTTTCCAACTATATATAGAAATTACTATGTTAAATATGGCTTCTTTTATATATTATTCATGTCTTAAAACCACTATTGATAAAAAAACATGCTGCGGTAACGCTTTTTCAAAAGTAGTTTTTGAAGGTAAGATTTCCTAAGTACCAAAATACACAAAATTTGTTTGAAAATTTCCATATAGATTGAAAAAGGGTAAGGAATCTAATAGGATGGAGAGCCTTTTTAATATTTACACATAATTTCTAAGTTCTTAGCGTTTAAAAACTTTAAGGTCGGTTTATTAAAAAAAAAAAAAAAAAATTTATAATGGTTTCATGTGAAAAAAGCTAGTATAGCCTTTCCTTTATTCAAATCAAAAATATTATTTATGTTTTTTTCACTTCGTCCATCACTTTTAAAAATCTTTCAACCATTGTCACAATGTTGTTCCATCTGGTTCGGCAATCTAGCAGTAAGTATAATTTAATTCCGTGCTTTACTTTTACATAGTCTTGTAAAGTAGAACTTCTTTTCGACGAATGTTTAAAAAACTAAATTATTTTTTTAATCATTTGTAAAGCAGCATTTGTATATATTCGCCAGAGTTATCACTAAAAAAATCTAGATTCATTATCTAAAGAATCAATGTGATGAACATTAGAATTTTCATTTCTTTTATAAATATCGTCCATTACAGCCAAGTGTATTTCGTGGTTATAACATAATTGGTGTATAAAACTAGATAATTTACCAAATTTGATCAGTAATGATCAGATGATTCAGTAATGATTCAGATATTGTTGATGCAACAATATCTAAAGAGATAATTGCAAATTCTGATATTTTCTTTTCAAATAGGTCTAATGTTACTTCAGCTGTACAGCTTCCATGAATTTTGACCAGTCCTAGATTAATAAATAATTTATTGAAATTAATATTGATATTCAAATATCTTTGATCGTGTAGACTTGTGTATTCATCAAACGTTAAACTAAATTTTCCACTTTTTTATTTATGTGATTTTATTTTAAGAATAAACTCATTTTTTTTCCATAGCACAATATTTATGAATTAGTTTCATTACATTGTTTTTACCTTTTGGAAGATGTTATTGTATTTCACTCAATGCTTGGCGAATGAACTCACTTTTGCATATTCATTGAAATGAAAAATCATTAACGGCCGCAAGTGTGGACTATTTCTGCTGAGAACTGTTTCTTATTAAAAAAATGATGCGAGATTCATTCTCGCTTTTGCAGGGATTGTCTCACAATTACTTGAGCCAGAAATTCAATCGTCATTTGAGTTTCTTTTCTTGAAATTAATGTTATAAACATGTTGCAAATTTCTTATTAATCCTCTGGTTGACGAGCCCTTACAACTTAATAATTTATTCAGACAGTTCAAACACGTTTAACTAAAAAAATTATTTTTTGGTTTTTTACATTTTTCTGTATTATAGGTAACTTCTGAAGCCAGATTATACACATTAAATAGGCTTGTGGACATTGATATATTTTTATTTTTAATAAATAATTATCCTAATATAATAAAATATATACAAAAGTAATTCTTTGATTTTAATTTTTTTCCGGGAAATTATGGTAACTTTTCCGAGTAACGAGAAATATGAAATATAAACAATACCCGGGAATTTCCGGTCAGGAATTCCCGAAAAAACCCAACCCACACCAGGCCCGGATTTAGCCTTTTGGGGGCCCTAGGCCAAAACATTTTTGAGGCCCCTAAAATAATTTAATTTTGGGAAAAAAAAATGTTCATTTTTTTAATTAAAATTTTATTATTTAAACAAAACAGTGTGAATATTGAGAATTTAATGAAAAATAAACTTTACAACGTTTTTGATTTTTCTACACATTATTTTTAGTTTTCAACTTTTTATGTTTATTAAATTTTGGGGCCCCCAAATGTTGGGGGCCCTAGGCCGTAACCTAGTCGGCCTATAGGTAAATCCGGCCCTGCCTAACACTTAAGAATATTTTTAGAATAAAAACTGTTTTGAAAGTTTGAGTTAAAATATCTTTAAAAATCATATAGAATATGCAAGAATTTTATTGTTTAGTTGTTCTTTTCGCTAGCGATATTAATAACAATAAATATATTGAATACATATTTAATATATTATATATATATATATATATATATATATATATATATATATATATATATATATATATATATATATATATATATATATATATATATATATATATATTAGGGTGTATATATATATGACAATGCCAAACTTAAAGTGTTTGAGATCGGCAAAAAATATCTGACCTCGTTTCTATGTTTTATGGTAACTCTTTTGTGTCAAATTTTTTTGCCGACCTGATGCTGACCTTAAACTGTTTAAAGTCAGCAATTTATAGCCGATTTTAAACTGTTTAAAAATAAAGCTCTTTTATGAGTTTAAATAGCTGCGTTATTAACTTTTTAAAAGGTAATTAACAATTTAATTAACATAAATTGTGGTAAAAATGAAATAAAGGTATGTACCTCGAAAAAATCATTTGACGTTGCAATAGTACTAATTGTCATTATTGACGGCGGATTGGGGCCAGTAAAAAGACCTAAAAAAATAAAGTTAAAGGTAATCAATAAAACATTCAATACTGTACGTATTTATAGAATGCTGTAATGATCAAAACTAAAACTACTTTATTGTATAGTTTTTTTTAACTTTGCCGGGTTAGTTGGGAAGCGGTTTTGAACCAAATCTAACCACTTAGTTAAAAATGTAGCTTGGAATTGAGTTAGAAAGTGAACTTTTTCTTGCAATCATTATATGTATAATAAATTATATATATAATGATTTTTATGTATGTATGTATGTATGTATGTGTGTGTGTGTATATATATATATATATATATATATATATATATATATATATATATATATATATATATATATATATATATATATATATATATATATATATATATATATATATATTTATTAGGGTGGGTCATAAAATTTTTTTTAGAGTTGCTAACCTGGCTATGATCTAGAAAGTTGTTTTTTTATGTACTAATTTAGGAAAGTATTTATGGATTGATATGTTTTTTATGGATTGAACAATGTCTTTCACCCGCAACTACTATTACAAAAATTAGCAGGCCCTGTTATTATTCAAAAAAATGTTTTTCAAAATTATGTAATGTAGGTATTCAAATAAAGCGAAATTTTATAAAAATTTCAAAAATAATAATTTTTTCTTATAAAAATTATTATTTTAGATTTTATTGCATAATAACTATAATTTTTTAACTTTAAGTAAAAAATGTGCATTTCTACATGTTTTTTAATAACACTTTTTTTGGTATGATTTTTATAAAACAATTATTATTTTCGAATTTGTTATAAAATTTCGCTTCTTTTGAGTACCAGGTTGACCTACTTTTAAAAAACTTTTTTTCTCCAAAATATTAGGGTACCCCTAATTTTTCCAATAAAGTTGCGCCCTTTAAATCTATCACAATCATTCTATAGTATCATATTTGATAGTATCAATATTAATAACTATTAGCAATGCTTAGAGTCTGTAACAAGAAAAAATTTTTTTTGACCCACCCTAATATAAATATATATATATATATATATATATATATATATATATATATATATATATATATATATATATATATATATATATATATATATATATATATATATATATATATATATATATATATATATATATATATATATATATATATATATATATTTATATATATATATATATATATATATATATATATATATATATATATATATATATATATATATATATTTATATATATATATATATATTGACAAAAAAATACTGAAATGGAGTTGAATGACAATCCTGCTGTAACAATTTTGATCGATTCAAATACTACAACTGTCAATAATAACTCTGTAAAAAACAAATTTTGGTTTAAATTTATTTTCTACATCTGTATCTGCGAAGAAAGTAAAGCATACAGAAAAACAAAGACCCTAAATGTAATTTAAAGCCTATAATAGTTAAAAAAGATGATTTGACAATCAAACAGTTTTACAATTACAACAGATTTTGTTCAGTGAAGTGACAGTTGCAGATTGTTATCTAATCACCCGTCCACTTGACTGAAACCTACTGGCTGTAAGAAGAGAGACTGCATCATCAAAATGAGTTAAATACCTTTTCTAAAGAGCAATAACGAATATCCTAAATTCAAAAAACGCTATTTCTCAAACAAATTTCGATACAGGCTAGCAAGAAATGATGAAAAAGTAAGATGAGATGGCTTCTATACTCTCCAGAAACTGGTTCAGCTTATTATCTTTCTTGTCATCTGTTTGACCTAACTTCAATATCATATTTTATGAAAAAAGAAGGTTTCAACAACTGGAAACAGAAAAGACCTTTTTACTAATCTGCGTATAGCACTACGCATATTGCTGACAATTTCATTGACAGCAACCAGCGGTAAACATAGTTTAAGCAAGTTGAAGTTAATTAAAACCTACCTACATACATCAATTACGCAAAAAAGATTGACATTGCTTGAATGTATATATGAGCTGGTGAGAATCAGCATGGTGAAAGTAAAAAAACATTATTATGTTAAATTTGAGGCAGGTGTCAGGTGTAAGTTTAAGTAAAGAAACTGGCAACTGTTTTTCTTTAAGTTTGTTGGGTTTTCTCAACGCTAAATCTAATAAAACCTTAAAAATCTCAAATTGCGAAAATGTTGTCTTGCACCATTCTGATTCTCACCAACTCATATATTTATCTTTATGGTAGATTGGTAGGTAGTGCACGAATTAAAGATTCGGTGGAAAACAAGGCTCTGATAAGCACTTGTTAAATAGCACTTATAGACAATAGCTCCAGAGAACACTTCTGCGAAACTATAACAGGTATGTTGTCCGGACCATAAGCTGTAGAAGAGTCTAAGCAGGAAACTACCTTAGATTTAGAAGCTGGAGTGATGTGAATGTCGTGCAATGGATTAACCTGTTTGTGAAATCAAGAAATAAGATTAATGAAAAGTTCTTAGCAAACAATTCAGCCATGTTTTGAACCATGCAAGAGAAAAGGAACAAAATATTTGCCCTTATAATAGACACTGTTAAAGATTCTCCACTAGTTTCTAGAACCTAATTTTTGAGATGAAGTACGAGATTTTGTGACCTGAGAATAGCGGGCATTATACAAATACTTACAATGGTTTATAGCATTAGTATACAGACGTCTGTTTTCTAAAGAATTATTTAAGTAGAAAATTCCAGGAATACGAAAAATTCCTATTCAAGAGCCATTACAAAGAAAATCGCAGAAAGAGCCCCAGTCAGCTTTAAAGAAGTTATAAGAGGGGATTCTGATGGTGAAAAAAGATGAGATAATAGTTTTATAGAGATCAAACCGTGATGAGAAGTACCTAATGGTGAAGAAGAATGGTGAAGAAACTGAGCACTGACTAGGATCGTTAACAAGACAAAGAAGTTTAGTAGAGAAATTAAATGATTTGGATTGTCTAGAAAGAGAGTTAGAAAGTTGACTATTTGTATTAGATTTGTAATAGCTTTATAGTATATCATCCGTTAGTAAACTCTCCCTCAATTTTGCATTAGTTAGAGTTTTTAGCTCATTGGTAATCGTTTTTAGTTTGTTAGTGTTTTTAGTTCATTGGTAATCGTTTTTAGTTTGTTGGTGTTTTTAGTTCATTGGTAATCGTTTTTAGTTTGTTAGTGTTTTTAGTTCATTGGTAATTGTTTTTAGTTTGTTAGTGTTTTTAGTTCATTGGTAATCGTTTTTAGTTTGTTAGTGTTTTTAGTTCATTGGTAATCGTTTTTAGTTTGTTAGTGTTTTTAGTTCATTGGTAATCGTTTTTAGTTTGTTGGTGTTTTTAGTTCATTGGTAATCGTTTTTAGTTTGTTAGTGTTTTTAGTTCATTGGAAAACTTTTTTACTTTGTTAGTGTTTTTAGTTCATTGGAAAACTTTTTTAGTTTGTTAGTGTTTTTAGTTCATTGGTAAATATTTTATATTGATATCTTCAGTTCTCTAGTTGACACTTCTCTAAAATTCTGTTGTTGCAAAATAACTTTTGGACTAGTTCGTTTTGCTGTTGTTTTTGTTTAAATCTGGTTAATTTAAGTCTGTTGTTTAAGTTTTTGTTTAAGTCTGGTTAATTTAAGTCTGTTGTTTAAGTTTTTGTTTAAGTCTGGTTAATTTAAGTCTGTTGTTTAAGTTTTTGTTTAAGTCTGGTTAACTTTTAACTATTATTTAATTTGAGTAACGGTTAAAAAGTTCAGAAACGGTAATTATAATAAGTTTGGACATTTCTACTTATAAACCTTTAAAAAAGTATTCAAAATTAAATAATTTGACAAATAATTACAAAATATTCATTAAAAAAGACTATTCTAATAAAGAGAAAAAAAATGCGATTAAAAGAATACACGACGAAGTTGTATTCTTAGTATCAACTGTATTATTTTCTCAGATGAAATGAAAATTAAGAAGTTTGAAGCACACTAAGCCAATGTTCACTGTTCACTAAACTCACGCTTCAATCTCCGATACATTAAACTTTCTATTAGTTGATGTCGAACAACAAAATTTAAGACAATTAAATAAAATTATGAATGCCGCTACCGGTTGCGGTAGTTTATACATTTTACAATAAGCTGAGATTTGAGATTCCGCGAATTATCTGAAAATTTTAAAGAAAAATGTGTCTAGTTGATTTGCAATTACAAAGTTTAATATTTTAAAAGTTTAATATTTTAATATCAACAAGGAAGCAATTTGCCACCAGGTGAGAACTGCCAAGACATGGCTCTAAGAGAATACAAGTTATATTCTTGCCATGTGGCCGCGAAATTCACCCGATTTAAACCACATCTAAAACTGTTGGTTAAAATTGAAAGCAGATGTTTTTAAACAGAATTAAAACTCTAATAAAAGCTGTGATAAAAATGTGGTGTCATATAACAACGCCTTACTGTGAGTTTCTTGTTGTCTCAATGACGAGAAGAATAACGGTTGTTCTAAATATTTTAGGAGCTTATACAAAGTATTTAAATATGCTTCTTACTGTGACTAATTTTTTTTTATATTTATGAATGTTGTTTTTTAAAAGAAAACGTTTTTTAGTATTAAATGCGTACACTATACAACAATAGTTTTGCTACAAAATTGGTGGTTGGATCACTGTTATATTCCAACCACCCAATTATATGTGTGTTTAAAAATAAATACCTATTAATGACTGGTTGAAGAAGTACATAGTCGAACTGCTCATGCCAAATGTAACTAAAAAATTTCAAACTTTATGAGAAATATTCACATTCTCACAAATAGTAACACTTATAATATTAATTAAATATATATTATATCTATTTATATAACTAATATGTATAATAATAATGAGATTATAACATATTTATAACTAAAGAAAATTTATTCTTACTTATAGACACAATTAAAACAAAAAATAAGTAAATTGTCAGTTCTCTCAGTGAGGTCTTCACAATCATTTCTTGGCTGCAATCGTCTTCAGTTTGTCTAGTTTTCCAAAGACCTGAAGTTTTAAATAATTTTGATCAACCTTTATAAAAATGCTAATAAAAATGATACTAAAAATTATTATCATGTTATCTTTTTGATAATTATAAAAACATAAAAATAATAATGAAAATAAAAATGATAATAATGATACCTCGAAAACCTCTACAAAACTTTTTGCCCCAACTTTCATGAGATGTATCGGGATAATCTTCATAACTTTTATATGTAAAATAAGATTCCGCTGTTGCTTCATTTGTATTTTGATTTGTTGGCTCGCTGCTATCATTGCTTGTATTTACTGAATGTTCGAGTTTAAATACTGTTGTAGAATTAGATCGCTGGTTTTTATTTTCCGCTCGGAGACTTAGTTCAGAGAGCTGCATACTTCTTAACCTTTTTTTCGCACTCATTTCTACAAATATTTTTAAATTTTAAAACATTTCTATATTTAAACAAACTTGAATACTTATAATCAAACTTATTTCAAGTGACTCTCACACATGTTACAACTGACAAATATCTAAGCTAGATTTATAAATCTATTTTTAAATATTGTTTATATGATGTATAAAACAAGAGAACAGAGATTTAAAACCAATGTTTAGTAACAAAAAGAGACTTTTAAGAAAATCAGGTTCCTTAGAGTTGTTACAAAATCCCGGTAATGAGCAAAAAATCCCAGTAATGTAAAAAAAAAAACAAAAAAAAAAACGCTATTGTCTGACGCTTTCGAATTGCTCATGGTTGTAAATGAAATGTTTGCAACATTTTTTAGTACAAATTTACTCTTTTCAATGCGAATGTGCCATCATACAGAAAACTTACAAACTCCATATCTACGCATGTTGAAAAAGTATTTTTAGTAGTTTTAGTAACGGGGAACTATGCATTTGTAACTGAGTATGGGATCCCCTCTTAGCAGGTAAAAAGAAATTGTCAAACATCTTTTTCTATTATATCGTTTTGACCATGTTCAGAGTTATCCCGCTTTCGCCAATACCCTAATTGCCCTTAATCAACATTAAAAATTGGGGTAAAATGTATAAAATTCAATTTCTCCATATCAAGTTTCTATATATATTCTTAAAAAATTTATTTTCTTGTTAGTTTTTTCTGTAACATTTTTTTATAGAAAACTAGCGATTTGTGATGATAAGTTTCAGTGAAGATTATTATTTTATCACAAAATCTTATTTTTTAATTTTTGATTTTTTATATAATATTTAATTATTTACTATATATGAGGAGCCCATTCGCAAAACGTCTGGGCCAATTGATTTTGAGAAAACGACGAAAAACGGCACTACTCACATTTTTTAAAACAAAAAATTTTCAATTAGTCTAAAATTTATATATGTGATAGATTTCAGTATATAGAATGTTGAATTTGAATTAACTCAAAATATTATTTTTTTCTATAAATATTTTTGCAAATGGGCTTTTCAAATATATATTTAACATATCTCAAAATATTTTGTGTTCAATGATAGAATGGGAACTTTCCCATCGACGATTTACTTATAAATTTTATTTAACTAATGCAACCAATGTTAATGCTAGAAAATGCAACCAATATTAATGAAAATTTGGTAAATTAAACCTACTTGAAAATTAGAGTAATTGGAAAATTGCAATTGGAAAATTTTGAATTGAAAAACTTTAGAAAATTGCTATAGAAAAATTTTGTATCTAAACAACTTTTATGTAAATTGAAAACTTGTTCAATATAAAAAAAATTACATGCAAAATTTTAAATTTTTTATGATCATTTAAAAATTAAAACTTTAGAAGAAAAAGAAAAAAAAACATTTTTTGTATTTTTTATATTATAGCTTTTCATTTTTTTTTCAAATATATTTCCCGATAACAAAAGAGCGTTTAATCTAAAACTTATTAAATTTATGCAAAATTAAAGCAATTTAATACCAATTATAACAATTTGTACCCAGCCTCACTTTTTTTGATACTTTGTTTATAACGTATTAATTGAAAGTTTTTTTTTTCGTTCAGAATAATTAATTAAAAAGATATCGCAAAAACGAAGCAAACTACCTAATTGAACAAGTGTACAGCCTGTGCCGTGGCTAGGCTACCCCTTGCTCCCAATACGGGGGAAAGCAAGCCCAGCTAATTTATGGAGTTCGTTTTCAAATTTAAGGAGGTTTTTTTATTTAATTTTTTTGTAATAACTAATGGAAGGTTTTTTAAGATTTTTAAGTGCTAATAACAGGATTTTTTGGGAAGGGAGCTCCAACCCACTAATGCACTGTGTACAACTGTTTGCATCTTAACACAAAAATACAAACTTTGTAGAGTATTTTGTTGCCTCTTATCACCCTGAATGAATCATCAAACGTTAGTGGAAAAACAATAAACTAGAAAAAAATTTTGTGGTGTAAATTAACTTATTCCCTCGTGGAATCTCTCACCATTTAACTTTTATGTGAAACTGAA